ATTGTACTCGTCGTGGTTCTGAAGAGGGAGGTTATTTCGAGCTGGATTAGCTTCACAATTAATTTTTTCTCTACTGAGAATAGGCGTCGATGAAATTAACCGCCTTTGACTAAGGGGTAGGTTAGGAACCAATTGCTTTAATTACCGTTGTCAATTGTTTTAATTCATCTTTCTGTGAAACTACCCACCGTCTTCAATTGCGTCAATTGATTTTTTTTATTAGTTAGTTAATGTAGTTTCTCTGTTTGATGCTAATGTACGCTAGGATCTGGAATGCTTATTTTAACCTGGAAAATCAGATAATTATATAAACGAGGGTACGCGACCTCTAAAAGTTTTCATGACGTAAACACTTGCATACGTTTGAGGAGTCAAACCTATTTTTTTCCCTGAATAACTGTTTTATAGCTTTTAATTATATACTTATATATCCATATTTATTAGGAAAAGGTTTGGTTCAATTTTTTTTTAAACAGTTGTTTTAATGACCTTGAATTTTTCCAAAAATCACCTGCAAAACTTGAGAAGTTTGGAGATTCCATAAATGTTTTGGTACACAGCTTGAGCTAAGATCTCCAAACATGCGTATTTTACGAAAATGAACATTTAATTTTCATACATTACTGGACAATTCATGTGGGTGCGTAACTGTTAACAAATACCTAGTTCCTTTCATTGATGTAATCAAATTTGGTGAAAGATCATTTTCCAAAAAGATACCGGGATTAAAAGTTTTAAGAAGCCGAGAAGTAGGAATAAACAACATTAATCTTTGATTTTTCATGAAATCGTTAAAATACAAACGATTAATAGACACTTTGAGAAGGAGTTGGTTGGTGGTGCGGTCATTTTCGGACGTATTCTAACAATATTATAACTCACTGCATCACTTCTGCAATCTTATTAGTTATTCGGAGTGTTGTGTCTTCGTTACGGTCCGTCCCGCTTTTTATACTTAAATTGAAATATGACACGATCACTAAAAACTGTTTAATATAATAGAGAGTTATTTTATTTCTGTTTTTTTAATTTTTTTTTTTTGGAGCGGGGAGCATTTCATAATTCACCATATGCATTCTCATTTTATTATTTAGGTGCTTATTGGATCTCAGCTTGTATAATAGATTAAGTATTCTGCACACGTCAGACCATCGCCTAGCTCTCTACGACCTTTTTCCTGACATTTTTGGATATTGCGGCGGTTGCCAGGGTCATTGGCAAGGCCGTGGCTTATGTTAGTTTGTCCTTCTTTGTGCGATTTATCTACGTTATCTCCTCGTCGAATTTACATTTTCGGAACGCAGTTGAATATCACTTATTCATTTATTTTTAAAACTTCAGTACGTTTTTGTTGAATATAACATGTAAGCATACATTCTAATGTAAATATATTAAAAACATACATATTAACAAACAAAACTTGTATGAAAAATCGCTTCCAGCTGACTTTAAATAGTGTATTGCAACAAACATTGGAATATGGCCTGCTAAGGGTTGGCATTGACAAATTGTCGCTGTCAGTAGAACCCCGCTTATTGCCGTCGGAAAGTCGTCGTCTTTCGACTTATCGTTAAGTTCTCTCTAAGCCAATCTCTCATCCACCAAAATTAGTTTATAAAACAGTTGCTATTTTCGTCGATGGTACTCATTTTTCATGTCAAACCCATGTACGTTTTCAATTATTTATTTCGCAATTCTATGTAAGTAAGGATCAAAATAAAATTCTACAATGCATTCTGAATTACTTTTATGATAACGTTCTCTTAATCGTCATAAATAACTAGGCAAAGAAAATTATATAAAATTAATTTAATGATATTACCATGAGCTAGTTGAAAGATATCGTGACATCACAATGGAGTATATAATAAAAAAAAAAGTACAAATATTATTTATTAAAGTGCATTTATTAAATATTCACTTTTTGTTCAAAAAGCAAAGTTGACTTACTCTACTTTTTCTATTCATCGTATGTCTTTTTCGTTTCCTTATGATTACAGTTTCCTTCATAGAAATTTTTTAGGCGTATTATTATGCTAAATGTCATTAAAAACTATTATTTCATTCAACTTGTTGTATGTTCTGTCATTCGTATATATCTAAAATTTCATTCTTATAATTGGTCAGGATAGATAAAAGTAAAAGAATAAAGAGGAGGAAGTTATTTCGTTATTTTTTTCCTTTGCGTAGTAATCCTGTGGGATGTTCGTATATTTCTAAATTTTTACAGATAAGTTATGAAGACTTTTATAATTTTAACTTGTTAAAACTATTACATTTTGGTTATATGCGTGTGGTTGTGGAGTTAGTCACGGTTAGAAAGACAAATAATAATAAAAACTTTTTATTTTGTCCCGACGTTTCGAACTGTATTTCACCTTCATCAGTGAAGCTCGTACAAAGTATTTATATAATCCTCGCGAATTTATTGTATACACATTAGAACTATTATTTATTAGATATTTATAGAATCAGTAAAAAAATGTATCATCTGCAATTTCAATTTCTGTTGAAGAAACCTATTAGGTATGTATCTTGACTTAACTTCTTAGTTTTCCACATCTGTTAAAAAAATAATTACAATTATTTTCAATCATCACTATCATGATAAAAAATAGAAAACTTATGTTTTCTATCTGTATTGATACTATGGAGAATTGACACAATTTTTTTAATATGGAGGAATACAAAATCGGTGGTCTGATCTGATGTCAAACCGTTTGTTATCGCTGTCAGTGCAGCGGTGGTCAGCGATAAGTATTCATCTGCTTCTGCTTGTTATTTTTGCTGCTTTATCTTTGAGTCTCTGTCGTTGTTGATCAATGCGGTTTACTTCGACTCTTCTGTAGTTTATTTCGATAATATTCCAATTGTCATTATTACTTTATCCAAGTAAAGGTAAATTGCTATTCAAAACAAAGCCAATTCAAACTGCATTTTATTTTGTTCATTTGTATTTAGCATTAGAAAAAAACGTCTAAATCCGAAAAATATTCGACACATAACTTGACATTCTTATCGTCATTTCTAGCCGAAAGTAATTTACAATTGTTAATAAAAAATAAATTTTTGTGGAAAAAGAATTAGGTGAATTTTGACTTTGATCTCCTAAAACAATATTAGGTGTAAAAAAAGTTGATTATCATAGCATAGAGTTTTTTCGATTTTTATCAATTCTTAAACATCTTATACTTCATATTCCCAAAGTTAATCATATTAATTATCACTTTTTAAACCTGTAATTTACATATAAATCCGTAAAATCTCACCAAGAGTCAAAAATTCAATATTAACAGATGTTAATTATAGGACTGACAAGAAATTTGAATAACTTTTATTCGGGAACTTTGACCATCTTGGATAAGTCTTATAAATCTAGCTAATTTGTTTTTTTTTTGTCTTCATTTGCGTGATCAGCTGTTTTTGATGATAAATTTCCCTTGATGTGCATTTTCATATATATATATATTTTTGTTTTCCTTCTTATTATTATAATTATAGATTTTTACTTCGCATTTTTTTTTTTGTATTATATTTATGGATTCTGATTGGATGTTTTTTATCAGTCTTTTTTTCTTGATCAGCTGTTTGATTATAACCTTCCTTAGGTGTGTTGAAACCTGAATTAGCGATACGTAGGGTTTTTCTGTTCTTTTCCTGCATTTATAGACAAGGCTGCTGTGCGGTTGTAATTTTCCAATTGTAACATAACAGTGAAATTTAAAATAAGTCTATAATATAATACAGCCGTACGTTTAAAGGAATATTAAGGCATAATGGTGTCAATAGTCAAGTGTATTAAAAAATATATATATTTGGTATTTGGAAATGTGCTAAGATACGTTTTTTCTCTCCATATTTTGGAATTATATTGTGTGTGGTTATGTAGAAATGTTACCTGGTCTTATTTTCATTGAAATCATACTTTACTAACAATTATATTTCTCTATAAAAAATTCACGGAAAAAGAACGGGATTTAATAATTGATGTAGGAATCAATAATTAATGATTGCAATGTTGTTATTGAACTAATAATAGGTATTGCCTGATAAATATTCATCTATAAAATGCTTACAAATTATCTTTTGACATGATGGAAATATTTCTTCAATTATTTTATTAAATTCAAATATTTCAGATATTTTTTACAAACAGTATTCAACATTAAACTAACTTAACATATTTTTATATTAAATTGAACGTATTATGCATTCAAATTTAACCAAATCAAATTGTATACTACTGTCTCTAGTAGTTGACTTTGACATATTGATGTACGTCTATGTAATGTTAGAAACAAAAGAATTGGCTAATATGGCAATGCACAAAGCAAAAAATAAATAAATAAAATACTAATAAATAAAAAGAAACAAAAGAAATCAACGAAAAATTCTTATTTTAATTATTGTTTTATTCAATTTCGATCCTCCTAATCCTCGATCAAGTCACAGGTGATTCAGTACGAATTGTCTGTGAAGATGTGTTGTGTAAAGCAAGCTATACCTATCTTGAAAATAGTATAGAGTCATACTGCTGTGCGGTTGTGAAGCGTGAAAAAAAAATTACATTCTAACTATCAATATGCTAAGAATCGCATTAAATGTTCCTTAATTTATAAAAAAAAAGTCATTTGCATCCATCAAGAACTATAAGTCGTATCAATAGATAAATTGCTCAAAAAACGTTATACTAATTTCCATGCCCCAATATCATCTCGCAGACTTATATTCCGACTTATAATAAGTATTCTAATATGAACTATATCACTTGTTTATTTTAGGTATTTCCCCCGGTATATACTTTGGTTTATTTATTTATCATTATATCAAAGTATATATTGTGTACATTAACATAAAAATGTAGTGTTTTAAGACTTATCATTTTAAAACTGAATTGTTTTTATTTTCGCATTGGATTTTCCCACTCGGCTTTTATCGGAACTCGTATACCTCTGTTGCTATGTCATTGCAAGGGGCAGTAACAGGTTTTTCTGTTGTTTCTACCTGGATGACGTACCTGTTGGACCAGGTGTCTTTGTTTTTGGAGCACTTTCCGGAATCCCAGTGACGTCGGTATTAATATCGGATATGGGAAAACCTAACATTCCGGTCAGTGGGTGACCTCCTTCTACCTCAGTCTTGTTATGATTTTCGACAACTCTCTTGAAAAGCGTAACCCTAGATAGCGGACGAGGGCAAACATCACCATAACATATAATACCTTTATCATAAGAGTGTAAGAGCTCCTTGGGATATTTTTCCGAGAATGCATTAGTCCAACGCGAAGTGTAAACACCGCGTATATTCAAATGTGTTGACAAATATTTTTGTGATTTGAATAGGCGTAATTTGTATACGTTTCGTTCCTCTATTTAAATTCTTATCATTAAATTAAATTCAGAGACCGGATTATCGTGTCATTGCACATTTTGTTCGCTTTGCTGAAAAAACTTGAAACCCAACAATCTATCCGTTTCACGACCTATAGAATGACATATTGAAATTTAATTTTGCACAAAATTGTTTTATTGCCCTTTTCGGGCTAAATTATACATTTTTGATTTTTGTTGCATGATATTATATATTTTACAATTTAAGAATTAAATTTCAATTTTGATTACATAAAGTGAAATAATTGAACCAAAATTCTTTTATTACATGCAGATAGGTATTTATGTAAATATTTATTTACTTTCATTATTTATTATGTTACATTTGCAATTGAGAAAAGAGGTGTCCAACACATGGAAGGCATAAAGACGGACTTAGTTTGTTGACATTTTGTTTTATCCAAAATAAGGTTTTTAAGTTATCTTTCTGGGATGTAAAGATATTTTAGACTGATTCTTGTTTGCTATAGGTAACAAAATTACTATCCAAGCTCACAGATTTTACTGTTTAAATAATAGTGCTAATGTTAACTGGGAGTTCACATATTCAATAACTTAATTGAATGCAAGTGTGTATAGCCACTTACAAATCCCTTATCCTCATGTTTCTGTTATTCTCTGTTCCAAAGCATGTTTATATTTATTTTTCAGTTTTCAAACAATCAAATATGAAAATATTTGTAAACAAACGTGTTATTTCCGCTTTGACAAAAATCCGCTGGTTTACTCGAGGGACTACGGATTTTCATAAAAGATAAAGAACTTAACTCAAAATCCACTTGTTTAAAATTTCAAATTGACCTAAAGCTGTAAAATCAAGCTTTTGATTTTAAAATATACTTTCATACGGAATTAAATTAATCGTCGTATGAAAGTATATTTTATACTTTATATATATATATATACTGTATTTATATATGTATTTATACTGTTATATATATATATATATATATATATATATATACTGTATTTATATATATATTTATACTGTTATATATATATATTTATGATCTGCTTTAATAGAGGATATGTTGATGCCATAATCCGAGCGTAAGCGATCTATTAACCAATGAAAGCTTGGAGATGGGCGTAAACACTCGATCACGAGGTCCTAAATGGTATCAACAGATTTTCTGGTAGCTGGCACACTTCACCGACAGATAAAACTGTTGTCTTTGCCGATAATAACCTAATTGGTGTTGTCCTACCAGATTTGTTGATATTCCCAGTCATTGTTTTTCATCAGCTGTTTTTCTTAGTATACTTGCAGAAGTTTTAAATTATTGCCATACTATCTATACTATGTATTTTATTGCTATCAATAAACCCAGTTTTGTAGAAGTTTAACGATGGCGGGTTTTAACGATTCATCAGATAGACCATTAAGTAATTATTTATCAATCCCAGATTGAGGCTGGTGGAAGAATAGTAATTTTGGTACATTCGCGTTGGATTTATTTTATTGTTTAAAGGATGCATTTGGTTTTTCAAGTTTCTATTTTTTTTTTTTTCTTTTTCTTTTTGTGGTAGAAAAGATAGCAACTGGAAAAAAAAGATGTACTCGATATCAGTTGTATAGTGTTGTAAGAAGGATAAATGTCATTGTTGAAAAGATTTCTGTTCACTTTCTCTGGTTTTCTTCAGCGTCTTCAACCCTACATGTGGACAAGCAGATTTATTTTAGATATTAATATGATTTGTGTGTTTATTGCTGGAAACTGTAAAAGACGTTATGAACAGTTTTTTTTTTGCTATATCCATGAAGCATCATTACTGTTTCTCTACAGTTCTGGTATTTTATACAAAGTAAGAATGTACGATGAGTTTTATTTTTTTAAGAATATAGCTGATTTTGCCTGATCCAAATTCCTTTATTTTCATGATAAACTCCAGACCCATTCGACACACTTGTTTCCAGCCTTACTCCCTCCTTGATTTCTGATAATCTATCTTGGCGTCTGCAAGAGAAGGTGGTCTCGAGATCTTTTTACATAAAAGTATTTAGTTAGTGCGACCATTTGTTAGTATCTCGACTAATCTGTTGTCATTATTTTTTATTTGTTCGTAATTATTTTTTTACAATTCTATATTTCAAGTATTACTATTCCAACCAAAGCTTTGAGAGATTTATTCTGAAACATTTTCATCAGCTCAAATAATTTTACCTTACAATCCAGACTCGACAGATTTTGTTTCATGCTGTTTTCTGTTGATTTATTAAAGACAATTGTGATGGTTTATTTACTTTTATTAACAAACGTCGTATATATATTGTATATTTTTGAATAATTTCTGCTTAAAAAATATTTTTTCCATTCTTATTCTCTAAATTCGAGAAGAGGACCATGACGTTACGGTAAGTCCTAAATATCACTTCGTGTCGTTAAAGGTTTTTATAGTGCCGATGTAAGGAATAAAACTCATAATATTCCATGTTTTATTTCGTCTTTTATGACTTTCTGTATATTTATTTATTAATAATATTTATTACATGATTCTAAAACGTTTGTTTAGTCTTGTCCCATTAGATTTCGTATATAATGTATCTTTTACTGTATTAAAAAAAAAGTCATATTAAAGTGATGGTAATGATTTGATTTAAAATATTATTCCGTCTTATATATATATATATATATATATATATAAAACCACTTAAATGGATTTTATTGGAGTTTTTTAATGATCAAAAACGGTTGTTAATTCCTATTTGTCATAACTACATGCAATATTTAATTTATCAATTTAAAAAACAAGTTTTGTTTATTCAGTGTTTCCCCCCCCCTTTTTTTCCTTTTATTTAAAGTCGCTTCTGCTTCTGAGGCCATTAGCGACGACTGTTCTTAAATATGATGAACCAATTTTATTGCTCTTAAGTACTTGAAGATTTTTTCATTGCCACTTCTTTCTTTAAACGGGGCTGCGTCTTTTGCGTCAATTTTGAATTTAATTTGTTCATTTCGATATTTTTTGCATCGGAAAAGGTGTCGCATTATGAGATGTTCATTGTCACATATTTGACAAGTTGGTCTGTGCAATCCTAGGAGCAGATGAAGGTGGGTTAGTTTGGTATGTCCAATTTTGAGTCTGCTAATTATGGAGCTTTGCTAGGATGTGAAGTTCTTCGGAGGTATCCAAGCAACTTTATTCTCTTTGTAGAGGCTGAGGTAATTGAATGGTATTCGTTACAACTGTTTCTTTCCAAAGTTTATTCACTTTGTTTGTAATTATTTGCGTCCATTCGTTATGTGGGTGGTTAATCTGAGCTTCTCAATGCTTCTTTTCTTCCTCCATCAGCTAAGTCATTGCCACTTATGTCTCTGTGCGAAGGGACCCATATCAATGTTATTTCTTGATCATTTGTATATTAAATGTTTATTTATATAAAACTTACTCATGTTTTCTCAATCTTTTGCCATCTAAATTGTTTTGAACAAAACTTATACCTTAAATAAATACTGCTAATGCAAAACTGGTGCTTTTTTTTTTCAATAAAATTGTTTAAAACATTTTTTCTATATCTTTATTCTTTTAAATTCTGGAAGGCCTTTCTTGCCTTTATTTTCAGCATACTTTTAATATTGATACTTCTCTGATATGTAAAAAAATATTATACATTTGAGGTCTTCCTTTCAGTCGTTGTTGATCCTGCTTTTTGATATAAATAATTGCCCGGAACTAATAAACAGTTCTCAGTGGATTTTGTCGTAATCATAGTCCAGGAATTTGTAAAAATGATACATGTACAAGTGAAAATAAATCTTCCATTTACTAAAAAATTCTTCGTTTATTCATTAGGCGTTTTATAATTGCTTTTAAATTGCGTTTTTGTATAATTTTAAATTGATCATCTGTTTGATATTTATGTGAGTCTTTTATATAAATATTGCGATTGAAGCTGATCTTTTATGGTCGTGGTTACGTTATTTGTATATGTTTGTTTACTTAATGGCTAGTCATTATTTCACCCTTTATACCGTTTTATCTGCTCTCGATTATATAATATATAATATTATACTGTTTACGGTATCAGTAAACAGTATTGGTGCTTCGGAGGAGTTGATAGAGGACAGGGAGTTGCGAATTGATGAGAGGCTATTACAAGAAGGCTGAAGCAGGTCGTAGTCATTTGCATATCGTCAGCAGTGATTACCTGTGACGGGGTCATCAGCTGTAGTTCAATTATGATTAACATTTTGCGGTATTTTAATTATTTAAGTAATGTTCTACGATAATCTTCTGTTTATTTATGATTTTAAACGTTTTTTATTTGAAGATTCAGTCATTAATTGTTTATATATATATATATATATATATATATATATATATATATATATATATATATATATATAACCAGTTTAAGAGCGGAGATGGGGAAAAGATGAAGTGTGGGAGAAAAAGGAAAGCCAAGAAATTATATTCACATGCTCCCTTAGCTAGCCTATGTCGCGATAAATAAATAAAAGAGTATATATATTTATATTTGATTTCGATATCTTAATCTAAGGTAATTAATTATAATAATCATTTCTATCATTATTTGGTTTTGTAATCTCTTTGAATATTTTATGAATGAAAGTTTTCAAAGATGAATGGTCAATTAAAATTCTTTACTACTTTTCAAGGTAATTCTCTCTCCTAGTATTAAAGTATCATTAGTCTCCGTCAGTTATTGTTGACTATGTTTTTTTTTTTAAATTATACTTTCGCATTTTAATTGATTGAAGCTTTCTGGTAGACTGTGAAATGGAATGGAATTGTATTATTCAAATTTGTTGGAGGAAATATTTTTATAAAATTTGTAATGATTTTTTAAAATTCGTATGACAGTTACAAAACAAACAAACGAGGAAACATATTTACAATAACAAATAACAAACTAGAATTAATTTCTTTTCCCTTATTATAACTTGAGAATTTAATTTTTGTGTTGTAGACAAAAAAATTAATTGATTAACCTAATGTATATTTTAAAATGTCCGGGTTACTACGAAATATTGTTTTTTAAATGTTAATATTCAGTGTACACCCAAAATAAGTGCTTCTGAGGATTTTGTATCTATGGATACAGAATATAATAACTTAAAATATACTATAGCATTAATCCATCATTATCATAAATATAATTTTATATATAGATGTATAAACTATTAAATTATTTTTAATCATAATTAGAATTGTGCATTAAAAATTGATAATGAAAAAAAAGATGGACAACATATATGTACTGCATACCGTTGTACTCGAGAGTTGAGGCCCGATGATGCTATGGGTCGTATACACTTATCCAGCTGCTAAATATATATAAACATACACACAGTTCTATATATACACTCAGAGATAGGTGCAGACCGCAGCTCTCCGCTGCTTCACACTGACTGCTTCGCTCTTCCTCCCTCCACTCCCAGTTTATTCGGCCCCACTACTCCTCCCTCTTCGTTCATGAGGACTGTTATTTTATGTTAATGGAGAATGGGAAAAAATTTACGCATTTCTATGTATGCTTACGCTTATAAATAGTTTTTTAATATAGCAAATAGTAGGACAAGATTTTCGTTTTTTCTGTTAATTATTTTTCTGTTTTCGTATTTTCTGTTAAAGTATTGAAAAAATAAGTTCTATAAAATAACAAATAGTGGTACTCATCACTATTTCCTACCAATGAAATTGTTATTATATTAAGTCTATCTATGGTTAAAATTAATTGTTTTGTCAATAGTTATCGCAGGCATTGAAGTAATACTTACCAACTTTTAACTAGATACTACGAAAATTATGGTTCATCATTAATAAAATCTAAGGAGTTATGAATCAGGCATTAATCCCACATCCCTTCCCCCTGGCCCGGGTTAAGAACTCCGTATAACCTAAAAGGCGAGGAAGAGGAGAGGACAAAAAAAAAAATGGAATTAAAAAATATTTGCTGACAATTTTGGAGATATGGCTCCTATCTCGACTTAAAATCATTTCATAATTGTGGGTTAATGGTTGACTGTCGTGAATAACGAAAAGGATGGCTGGGGTGATCAGTCAGAAATAAAAAGGCAAAAAATAATTAATAATATTTATTTTAACATTTGCCGACGTTTCGACCAGAAGTTCAGGCCTTCATCAGGGTTGAGAAAGGAACCAGATAACAAAGTATGAGGAACATAAATAATGTAGGTAAAAAGATTAAAGTAAAATGAAGTGGGTAGGTAGAATAAATACCGTTGCAAAGTGTGGAATAATTTAGTAAACATAATCAAAAAAGGTGACGTAATTATTAAAATGGTAATCTTAGAATAAAATATAAAACAGAAAAAAGGAATATAAAGTTATACAAGGAATGAAAATAAATAGTAAAATTAAGATACTGCAAATAGAATAGTTAGATAGAAAATTGAGATATTGTAAAGTCTATCGAAATGTATTGACAACGTATCATATGATAAAGAATTAAAACAGAGAAAAGGAATGAAAGGAAGGCGAAAAAAAAGAAAGAGAAGACTGAAATAAGATAGAAAAAACTAACCTGTTCCAAGAGATTGCTGGAATAGAATAATAAATCATTTTAAATCTTTATTATTTTTTAAAATAATGACGTGTATATCGATCCTCGTGTTATACCCAATTTAAAAAAAAAAAAAAATCGTTATTATTGTTTAAAATCCTTTGTTGTTCTGATTTTTCGATGTATATAATATTTTACATGTTTTCAATAACTTCGCTGTCACCTGCCGAAGCCGTATTAACTAAACGTTTCTCATCTGTATAAAAAATGAGCGTGAACTAATTTAGTTACCTTAATAAAAATATGCATTTTTTTTCTGTTTCTTGAAAACTAGATTGATCTGCATTTGAAAGTATTCGTTTGAATCAGTGAAGTAATAAGAAATTATATTACAACAAATAGAGGCTGGACTTTCAACTTGTAGGGCAACTAAGAGGATCAATATAAATAAAATGGAGACTTTTCAATCAATAGCTAACAGAACCAAGACAATCACCTAAGCAGAGGAGTGTTCACAACTGTTTGGGTTCTTTCCATAAACATGGATCTAATGTCATTACATTATCTAAAAAGATAAACCATTTTGTCCTTTAGTCACATTAGTATGCCTGAATCCGGCTGTAATTTGGAAACTTTAGGAAGCAGTTGAAAATGTGTAGAATGAGAAGCTTCCTTGAGAATATTTTCGCCTTAAGTCCTTAAAGTCAAAGAATGCGGGTTGCGGTAGCGTGATATATCGCGCGTCGTAGCATGTCAGGTGGTGTCTAAGCCTTGTTAAAAAGGTCACTTGGAAGTAGGGTTGTTGCCATATTGGGTAAGTTCCGATATCCCTCATAGATATTGATATAGGTCTTTGGTTTCGGTATCATTTTAGTTATTAATTAAAATTATTGATTCTTTCAATATCGAATGATATCAATACCAAAATGAAATTTTTGAGATTTCTAACAAATATATCTTTGATTTATGACAAAAAGTCATTTAGTCATTTTTCATAACTTTTAAATCGCCGAGAACTTTGATGAATTTTCCTCTGTGAATGAGAAAATTTATCAGTTTATTTGTTTAATTATTTCTTATTATATTTATATACCGTAAACCGGAGTTACTTTGCAACTAGGGGGTAACTATGTACAAGAGTTTATTTTGAGTACGAAATTAGCTTTTTTATATTGACACAATTTTCGTTTATTCTTGACATAACAATTTTCCACCCCGCCAGGTGATTTTAAATTCAAAATGAACTGTAGTACATAGTAACCTCTTAGTCCCAAATGAACCCCGGTACTTATTTAGGATGATACAACGTTGGCAGGATTTATTGTCATGAATTAGGTTAGCCGACGTTTCGACCCAAACATGTGGATCATCCTCAGGGCTTAAAATTACAAAGTATAAAATAAATACAAAAGTGTAAGTGTAATGAGAGTACCCTTGACGACCCATATGTTTAGGTCGAAATGTCGGCTGACCTAACAAAAATTCTTGACTGTAAATCCTGGCAATTTTGTTTCATCCTAATAAGTGATTATTAGACTAGGTACCTATTTAGTATATAAAAGAGTTTGTCATTTTAGTTCAATCAAAAATGTATCTGTTGATTTTTTTGCAATAACCCGACGATGTGAGCTGTTTACATTGCAACTATTGCAATCCCGTTTTACTATATATTCAAGGGTTTCTATTTAAATAGTTTAAAAAATATTATCAGGTATATGTTAACACGTTAATGTTATTGTTTTTCAAACATGAGATTTATATTTATAGTATGATGGAGTCATTTGTTTCGATACGATATTAAGCGATTTCGGAAGGAAAATGTCGAAATCGATATTATCGCGTCATCCCTACTTGGAAGCAATGGTGCACTTGCAAAAAACAGCAACTATCTTTCAATCCCTCACAGGTCTTCTGAGCAAGGCTTTTCGAAGGCAATACCTTCTTGTTGCCTTCCTGTTCCAATCCCTGAAAACCAACAAGCCATCTTATATTCTTGGCATCCCTATCCTGCGTTCTTTCGACGCAAGATCTCAACCTTTTGATATGTATTGACGCTTTCACAGAACAGTTTCTTTTGAAAACTTTTTTGTGGTTCGAACTACTTCGTTTTGGAATTGTGCTACCTTCCTCTATTCTAGTGTTCCCCAAAATCGGTCTTGGTCTTGCACTTTGCAAGACTAAGACCAAGGCCGCAATACTGCTGCAATACCAAGACCAGGACTGGTAAAAAAAATCGATTTTTTAAATAAAAATTAAGGCAAAATAATTACCAATATTTGACAATTTTAGCTACTATATGTTAATAATTGGTATAACCAATATTCTTTTGCATTTAACTCCTCTAATTTTTCATTCGGGCTTAGTTAGGTTTCTCCTATGTAAAAAATTAAGTAATATCTCTATAGTAATAAGCTAATAAGTAACTGCAAGACTGTTGCGAGAGTCTTGCACAAGACCAAGACCATGACCAAGACTGAGTTTGCAAGACCAAGACTCGTCTAGGTCTCGCATTTGGGCAACACTACTCTATTCGTAAAGCTCCCTCTCAGCCTCCATTGAAACACCATTTATTTCTCTGTCTCCTTAACATATATATATATATAATTGTGTTTATTTAAATCTCATTCTATATTCGCTATAAATATTTTTTTCTTTTTTAACATGTTTCACTCGCTACA